CTCGTCTCTTCCTTGTACAAGGCTTACACCAACAACATGATTCTTTAGCCTTCGCCTTGCGTTTCCTTTGTGCTCGCTTGGTCTTGCGCTTCTTGATCTTCAATTTAGCCCGTGGACCACATCCTTTCGGCCAGTCCCTCCTGCACGATGGTCGATAAATCGGACTCGATGGCTCCTCGAACATGTTCTCCAACCAAATATCGAGCCCATCGTCCTCTTCCTCGTCGGACTCGCCGGGGTTGATGACCACTTCCGTATCACTGCTGCCCTGCGCCCGCGCGCGTTGATACGGAAGTGGTCATCAACCCCGGTGAGTCAGACGATGATGATGGTGACCGTCTCGATATTTGGCTGGAAAACATGTTTAAGGCGCCATCTAGTCCTATTTACCGGTCGTCATGTGTACAAGATTGGCCAAAAGGTTGTGGGCCAAAGCTGAAGTCGATGGTAAGGAAACGGACGACCAAGAGACGACGCAAAGCACGGGCCCGAAGAGTAAGCCAGTGTAGGTGCGGACCTTGTGCAAAGAAAAGACAAGCTCAAAAGAAGGAGGCTAAAAGGCGGGGTTTGCAATGGGAGAAGGATGGTTGGTGGATACCGGCGGACGACTGTGTGAGACTGAAAGGTTGGGACCCATGGCCCGAACCAATGAAGGTGGCCGCCGACGAGAAGAAGGACGACGGGCGGCTAATAAGCGAAGGGCGCGCATTGGCCCATGATGCGCGCGGATGGGCGGAGGAGGATGATGCGTGCGGGAGTTCGATTGGGGGGCGAGTCGCGGACGCCGACTGGGACGCGTTGGCGTTCAGTGACGTAACGATGGGGTGCGATAGGCGCACGGGTGAGCATTCCGATGACGGGGAGGGTGCGCGCAACGCAGCATGCACACGGGAATGCGCGAGAGGCGATCGGAGCCCGCGGGCGGTGGACGCAACGCGCGAAGGAGCAGGCACGGTGGGGTGAACCGTAGGCGATGAGGGCTGGGGCGTTGGCGAAGACGCGCGCGAGGAAGTTGACAGGGACGAGGCGCGCGACAAGCGCGTGAGTATGAGCGACGCGGGTGAAGTCCTAAGCTGCGAAGGATTAGGCGACACGGGTGATGCGCTAGCGGACGATCGAGTCCTAGCGGGCGTAGGAGTGCTGGGAGGTGACGGGCACGCACGCGAGACGGACGACACGAGCAATGTGCGCGCGATAGCGCGCGCGTGTGAGGACCGCGCGCAAGACGCCGAGACCGCCGAGGAATAGGACTCGTGAACGCGTGCGACGCATGGGACGGAGACCGTGAGGCGGCGTGCGTATGATAGGGCCGAGAGTTTTAGCATGTGTTTAATTAGGGAGCTTCTAGATTTGCTTGGTGTGCAAGCCAAGCATTAGTTATTTGGTAGGTTTAGGATTTTATTGCTTTCTAGACTTAGGATTTCTATTCTTGCATGATTTAGGAGATCTATTAGATTTAGGCTTAGATTTATTTTGCACCTATAAATACCCCATGTACCCCATCATTATTTTATGTCTTGAATTGAGTATTGAATTGGTGAGCCAATTTTGAGGGGGAACCTTGTGTTCTTAACGTGTGATAAAGAAGGCCGTTAGTGCGTCTTTACATACAGTGTCGGAGAGAAGGCCCTGAGAGCGTCTCGAAGTCACAGTGTCTAGGAGAAGGCCCTGAGTGCGTCTGCTAGATACACCTATCGGGAATAAACGAAGGCCCTGAGTGCGCCGTTTATTCGCAACCCGTATAGACAAAAGATTGATCCGTCATCAGAGAGTCTCGCGGTAGTGTACCGCGAGCGGTCAATACCCGCATCAGGTGGCTGTGGGTGATGCGCGAGCGCACACCAACGCCCAGTCTTGCACGCCAGCGTGTGGTAACGCACGCCAGCGCACGACGTCGCACGACAGCGGGCCGCATGGTACCAGTTGCGTCGTCCAGTGCTGATGCGCGTCCAGTGGCACGTTGTGGTGCATGGCAGCACCCGAACTGTGCCAGTCAGGTGGCAGCCGATGCACATAGCGTACGGCCGTGCCACAAGTCATGCCCTGATGGGCCTATCGCACGTCTGTCGTGGCCAGGTGCACATAGCACCCTCGGCCGTGGCCAGGGCAGGCCGGTAGTGGCCATGCCAATACGTAACCGCACCAGCAGCTGTGCCCGTAGCCACAACAAGGCATGGGCCGAGTCAACTGCCGACCGACCGGGTCCGATCAGACCGGCGGTCCGGCCAGACCAGTTCAGACCGGTTGATACCGGTTTGACCCAAATGATATTATTTTAATCACGGTTCAGATTTAAAATTCAGTTTTCAGTTAAATTCCGGGTCCGGTTCAGTTCAGTAAATTCATGTCAGTTCAGTTCCGATTTTAACTGATTTCGGTTATACTGGTTAAACCCAAATGTCATGTCAAGTTCAATAGAGCATCTTAACATATTTTTAAAATTATTTTATCAGTCTGGGCATAGTATTTAGTAATTGTTTATATTATTTTCAGTTTGATCAGGATACGATTATCAGCACTGCCTTTTTCCATCAGACAGTTCAGGTGGGGACTCAGACTGGGTATTACATTGATTATAATTATTCTACCATGTTTGAGGTATGTATTATCAGTTCAGTATTCGCTCGGAATGGTCGCCGGTCCATTCTGGGTTCTAGTGGCCCTAATCTGCCCACTAGAGTGTGCACATGGTGTCCGACATTAGTTTGTGTCGGCAGATGTTCAGGTATCAGGCAGGTGATGATTTTATCTCACCATCAGTATCAGATCATGATTATTCAGACCGGTTTCATGTTCATGTTCATGCCAAGATCATGTTATTGTAATTATTTTCACTGTTTACTTCAGTATGAGTTTTCACGGAGCACAGTGTATTTTTAGTGCTCACAACCCACTTTTATCATGTTTTTCAGGTCCGGACGTCGGGCCGGAGGTGTGAGATGACGACAGTTTCAGGACTTTTGTTTATGTGTTGTATATATATTTTGATGACGATACGTTTCCGCTACTCATGACTTTTGACGAACTTGCTGTTAATTAATCTTTCAGTTAAACCATAGATTTTGATAAAGAACTGAAATAACGGTTTTTCAGAATAAGTCACGTTTTACAGTAGCACCCCGAATCAGTTTTCGCAAATTAAATGTTTTATTTTAAAAGATTTTGCGAAATTGCGCGCTCTGATTTTCACGATAAGGCGGGGTGTTACAGTTGGTATCAGAGCACGTTTCTGCGTCTCTGACAATATTCACGAGTCAGATATTTTCGAAAACTTTAACACGTCACGCTCACGCCTCGCTGACTACAGGTAAGTGTTGATTCATGTTTTAAATTATAAACAATTTACTATTTCTATGCTCAGAATTCTCAGTTATTGTATAGTTAAGATGCTCGAGTCATGTTCATGATCAGTAATCAGTAATCAGTAATCAGTAGTCAGGATTCATGTCAGTATTTTCCAGTCATGTTTGGCAACTCGTAAAGAAATTTGTACGCTTAAATAATCAGTTAAAGTATTCTTATCATATGTTGATCATGTTGAATCTTTTCAATCTTCAGATGCCGCCCCGTAGGGAGCCGGTTCAGCTAGCGGTCACCCAGGCCACTGTGGTCGCACTGTTCCGCGACTACCACCCTGAGAAGTTCTCCGGCCAGGGAGATCCGCGTATTGTTGATGAGTGGATTCAGGGCCTCGAATTGATTTTTGAGGTCATGGATTGCCCAAATCGTTACCGTGTTATTTGCGCACAGCTTCAGTTGACCGGTGATGCCAGACTCTGGTGGAATGCCTACTGGAGTATGCGTCCCAGCGAGAAAGAAGGGTGTACCTGGGACAGATTCAAGGAGATGATCAGAGAGAAGTACTATCCCTCGTACTACCGAGCTGAGATGGAGCGGCAGTTCTTGTCGCTCAAACAAGGTACTCGTACCGTTGATGAGTACGAGAGAGAGTTTACCAGACTTAGAGCTTTTGTTCCTGATCTAGTACGTACTGAGGCACAGCGAGCAAGCGCTTTACTGACGGGCTTTTCCCAGCAGTCCGTCATAATATTGTAGGTCACGGGACCCAAACGTACGCTCGTACCGTTTCCATTGCTCAGGAGGTGGATGCCAGCATTCGTAGGGAGGCGAACCATGATCGATTGTAGCCAGTTGCCCCAGCCCAGTCATCTACAGCTCCATCGATGCCACCAGCTGATGCCCAACCCCAGAAGAACCAGAAGAGGAAAGGGAAAGGCGCCCGATGGACAGGAAGACCCGACGGAGGTTACAACAGATTCCACAGTGCCCCACTTGCGGACGACTTCATCGCGGAGAGTGTCACATGGGCCAGGATATTTGTTATTACTGTCATGAGCCCGGGCATTTTGCCAGCCGATGTCCGAAGAAACTCCAGCCGCAGCCACAGCAGCTTCAGCAGCCACAACAACAGCAGCAGCCCCGACAGCAGGCACAGAGGCCACCCCAGCAGCAGCAGAGGGGTAGACAGCAGGCCAGAGTTTATGCAATTGATCAGGCTGAGGCAGAGCAACACCCAGGTACTATGTCTGGGATGCTTACGCTTAATGATATTCCTATCTTTGCCTTGTTTGATACTGGAGCGACTCATTCATTTATATCACGACGATGTCTCGATGCCATCGAAGTTCATGCTATTACCGTTGTCGATCCTCTCGAGGTGAGTCTAGCCTCGGGACGAAAGATAGTGACTTCAGCCAGAGCCACAGATCTCAGTCTCTCTATCGGTGGTCGTATATTGTCTACCGATGCTTATGTCCTCCAGATGAGGGATTTTGACCTCATACTCGGCATGGATTGGCTAACGCGTTTTCATGCAGATATCCGATGTCATGACCGGGAGATTATCCTTTCTCTTCCGGGAGATGATCAGATTACTTTCTTCAGTACTAAGACTCGTTCATTGCCACATGTTATCTCTATGGTGAAAGCCAGGAAGATGTTGCGACGAGGCAACTGTCAGGGTTATCTCGTTAGTCTTGTTGATGATTCTCCGAAGGCCCGAACACCTCACGACGTCCCTATTGTTCGTGAGTTTGTGGACGTGTTTCCGGACGATCTTCCAGGAGGACCGCCTAACCGGCAGGTAGAGTTCTCCATTGACCTCATTCCAGGAGCCGGGCCAGTCTCTAAAGCACCCTATCGTATGGCGCCGAAGGAGTTGCAGGAGTTAAAGGCGCAGATCCAGGAGTTATTACGACTCGGTTTTATTTGACCGAGCGTGTCACCGTGGGGAGCACCCGTTCTCTTTGTCAAGAAGAAGGACGGATCCATGCGCATGTGTATCGACTACCGGGATCTTAACCGGTTGACGATCAAGAACAAATACCCGCTTCCCAGGATTGATGATTTATTTGATCAGCTGAGGGGAGCTTGTGTTTTCTCCAAGATTGATTTGCGATCAGGCTACCATCAGCTGAAAATCAAGGAGTCAGATATTCCCAAGACCGCTTTCCGTACTCGTTACGGCCATTACGAGTTCATTGTCATGCCATTCGGCCTCAGCAATGCCCCTGCAGTATTTATGGATCTGATGAACCGTATTTTCCATCCTTATCTTGATCAGTTTGTTATCGTTTTCATTGATGATATTCTTATCTACTCCAAGACCAGAAGGAACACGAGGAGCATCTGAGGGTTGTTCTTGAAACCCTTAGACGAGAAAAGTTATACGCAAAATTCTCCAAATGCGAATTCTGGCTCCAGCGAGTAGCTTTTCTTGGTCATGTAATTACTCAGGCAGGTATTGAGGTCGATCCATTCAATGTTTCAGCTGTTCAGAACTAGTCGACACCGAAGAGTCCGTCCGAGGTTCGCAGTTTTCTCGGTTTGGCTGGTTATTACCGCAGGTTCATTGAGGGCTTTCTAGGATTGCTCTTCCATTATCCCAGCTGACGAGGCTGGTTTTAAATTACGAGTATGGAAACTGAATGAGTTTGAAGAAGACGAGAAAGAAAAGGTACAAACGAAGCGAAGCGAAGTGCTCAGAGTCCAGAGAGAGGGATTTCCCAAGAAAGGTACTAGTCACTGATTTAGGTCAACGACGGCCTGCTCTTCGTCCGTCTTGACCGAATTTATATGACTTCACTTACTGACTTTTGACCCGGACATGCAGCAGAATTCATCCAAAACCTTACTCCTCTATTAGAAGAGAGGAAGGAAGGATTCTATGACTTCACTTCGCTTCGTTCGTTTGTTCCCTGTGAGGTTCGAATGGACTGACCGATGTGAGGCGAGCTTTCAGGAGCTCAAGAAGAGATTGACTTCAGCACCGGTGTTGACTATTCCTGATCCTTCTCGGAGTTTCACCATTTACAGTGATGCTTCGAGACAGGGTTTAGGATGCGTACTCATGCAGGATGGCCAGGTCGTTGCTTATGCTTCACGCCAGTTAAAGCCACATGAACAGAACTATCCGACGCACGATCTGGAGTTAGCCGCAGTTGTTCATGCCCTCAAGATTTGGCGACATTACCTTTACGGCGGTCGATGTGAGATTTTTACAGATCATAAGAGCTTGCAGTATATTTTCACTCAGAAGGAGCTCAACATGAGACAACGCCGTTGGTTAGAGCTCGTCAAAGATTATGATTGCACTATTCAGTACCATCCGGGGAAGGCGAATGTCGTTGCTGACGCCTTATGCCGTAAGGTGAAGGGTGACTTGACTTATATTATTACTCAGCAGAGCCCGTTGATTCAGGAGTTCGCCCGGATGCAGATTCAGGCAGTTGATGCACTCCCTACAGCCATTACAGGGAGTATCAGTTCCATGCAGGTTCAGCCGACGCTGAGGGAGAGGATCCGGCGAGAGCAGGCTTCAGATGAGTTCATTCGTGAGATTGATGCCAAGGTTAGAGCCGGTGGCGTCGAGGGTTTTCACCGAGGCACTGATGGGGCCTTGGAGTTTCGTGGCAGGATTGTGGTGCCAAAAGTCGAAGCGTTGAGGAAGGAGATTTTGACTGAGGCTCATACCGCACCATATCTAGCCCATCCAGGAAGCACAAAGATGTATCATGACCTGAAAGGGTCGTTTTGGTGGCGAGGATTGAAGAAGGACGTAGCCGACTTTGAGAAGAGATGTTTAACCTGTCAGCAAGTCAAAGCCGAACATCAGAGTCCGATAGGCCTTCTACGACCACTGTCGATTCCGCGGTGGAAGTGGGAGGAGGTTTCGATGGATTTCGTTACTGGGTTACCGAGGTCGTCTGAACATCACGACGCTGTTTGGGTCGTGGTTGACAGATTGACCAAGGTTGCTCATTTCTTGTCGGTATCGATGAGTATGTCTTTGGACAAGTTGGCTGAGATATATACCCGTGGGATCGTTCGACTTCACGGAGTGCCTGTTACCATCGTGGCAGACAGAGATCCCAGATTCACTAGCAGATTCTGGCAGAGCTTGCACAAGGCGATGGGCACGAAGTTAGCATTCAGTTCAGCCTACCATCCAGAGACTGACGGACAGACAGAGCGAACTATTCAGACGTTGGAGGATATGTTGCGAACTTTGGTTGTTGACAGGGGTGCTAAATGGGAGTCGTTATTGCCGTATGCCGAGTTTGCGTACAACAACAGTTATCATTCTGCTATTCAGATGACTCCTTATGAGGCACTTTACGGTCGTAAGTGTAACACCCCGAGTTTTATTAATAAAGGAAAATACTAGCTTTAATATTAAGCTAG